TTAAATGTCCACGAGGTCAATGAGGAATGGAAAATATTTCCTGAAATATCTTTTTTTTTTTTGTCGGAACATTGAAGAGATCCATTTTTATTTTTTCCATGCTGAAGTATTTGCTGCATGCCTTTATCACACAGTGATAAGTGATAGATGAAATGTTTTAAAGCAGAAAAACTGTGGGAAACTGAGAATTCATAGCTTGTCATACACTGCAGCTTACTCAAGATGGAAATGCCCTACACAATTAAATTGGAAAGATGGAGTTGCTTGGTTAAAATGTGAATTCCACAATTACAAATAAGAAATTGCCATACTAATCTGATAATTTCTAGGGACAGGAAACGCCGGCTGTGTTTTCGTCTCTAGTTTTTTTTTCAAGGTTGATGGAAATGGCAAAATTTGAAAACTTAATTAAAACAAGTTTTACACTCACTTGAAGTACTTTTTGGCTTTTCCAAAAAGAGTTAATGCACCTCAGGGAAAATGGAAACACGTTCGCCAAATAAGTTCTGACATAGTGTGCGCTCCCATCTATTGGTGGGACTGGGTTGCACCAAAGACTCAAAACCCACAGCTCAGAGGGGAGGATCTCCATTTTGAGATGTGCAGTTCATTATAGTTTGAAACATCTACTTCCTGTTTATTACAGCCATTTGAAGCATCAAAATCTGATGAAATTATGCTTTCCAAAACAGAGCTACTGGACCTCATGATTTGTAGTGATAAAAGATCTACTCTAATTGTTGCCATGTGGTCATTTTTTTCAAAGTCTTGCTGCTTGTAAAGGGAATTTATTTTTCTATCCATCACCACAAAGATCCCTCTCTTCACAGTTTCTTTGACTGAACTCATCACTGCCAAACCTGAACCTGTTGACTAGAGTCAGAAAAGCGTAGCCTGGTCAGGGAGAATTAGTGTGGCGTATGTATCGACGCAAGTTCTCCACTGGTCTATCATGGTGAAGAGAGAGCTGAGCCGAAAGGAAACGCAATCAGTTTGCTAGTCATTGACCTACGTTACCACACTCCTCTATGGTCATGAACTTTTAGGGAGTGACTGAGAGAACATGATTGCACAACAAGCAGCCAAAATGAGTTTTCTGAATTGGGTGTTTGGGTTCTCCTTTAGAGATGGAAAGCTTGATCCTGTGGGAATGCTCAGAGTAGATTTTTGGCCTCCTTCCAGTCAGACCTGAACCACCGTATGACTCTTAATTTGTAGGGTTGGTGGTTCTTCTGGGGTTTTGTGACTGAGCTCCTGTTCCTAGAAGCAGCTCAGTCACCACAAAAGCAGTTCATTACAATTGCTTATATCAGGGGTTTTGTTATTCTTTTTAGAAGGTTGGTATGTGAATGGACCAGTAAATTGAGAGTTCAGATCAATCTTCACCACAACAGACCATAATTGTGATGCACCAGTGGCAATAAAGCCAGAATCCATCTACACGTTTCTTGCTCTGTCCTACAATCCTTTTTAAACAAGTCATAAAAATTGAACTCCTTCAATTTACCCAGATGGATATCTACCCAGAGGATGAACATCCTAATCATCCGGTTGTAACTGACTTGACCTCAGATCCTCTGGATTTCAGTGCACCTGTAATCTTGGCCAATGAGTTTTGTACCTCCTTAACCGCGCAGCATGAACTGTGTGAAGGCATGGAGGAAAACATTGACATGCTGATTTGAGTAGGGATATGGAATGAATGTGATGCCTTCAAGTGGCTTCATCTAAAAGTATGTCTTCACATTTTTTAAATTGAATAAATGCCTTAAAGCAAGACCTCATCTCCCCACTGGTCACACTTCTCTGTCGAGGGGCCAGGATAAAGACAAGCTGCGAGTAGGGGACTGGGATGATGTCTCTGGTGTGTCATGGGTGGGTTGGTGGGAGGTGCTTGCTGCTTTGAGTCTGTGCCAAATGGATGAGTCATGGGAATTTTGGGGACAAGAGGAAGATCAGACATTTAAAAAGGTTGGAGGGAAGACTTGTGAGTCAGCAAAAGGGAGGTGGGGTGGGGGGGAAGTTTGCGGCAGGCTTTGTCCATATATGGGCTCCAGTAGGCTTGTGGTCTGCTGGGAATACTGCCAGATTCCTTGGATGTTTAGTAGCTATTGAGAGGAGGAGAATATGTACTGACGTTATCAGAATGTGTTTGCAGATGTATGTCATAACACTTTTGACAGCAACTTTCTCATCGGACTAAAATACCTTTTGAAAAGTCAACCAAAGTTCTTTGGAAACCCCACAAGTGGGAGTTTGTCGCTGATTTTTAGTGTCTTGCCTGAAAATTCAACACGGTGCATAATCTGACTTCCTCAGCTCTTGTTGTGGTAACATCAGGGGTCCTGTTTGAGCCGGTGTACCTGACAGCCATGTAACACACCCTTACTGCAGCTGATCTGCATTCCTCCAGCAAGCAACGACCTGTGATGCACACCCAGCTCAAACCCACCCATTGGTCCATAAGATACTTTAAGACTGGTAATTTTATCTCTGTCCTTAGGCAGCCTTTTCTGACTCTCCTTTATTGCCTCCATTTTCCTGTCTAATATTACTTCCATTTGTGGTCGGACAGAGTTCTCGATTTGGACCCACGGGCAGAGAGGTTCTCATGATGACTGACCTTGGAAGAATCACTGGGTCTGAGCTCATCCAGGGTTCATTTGTCCTCTGGGAGTCAATGCAATGTCATGTTTTACAGCACTACATAACTTGTGAGAAGCTGTGTGTCCATCGACAACTTCGTTTTGCAATTTGACATTTCAAAAATAAATTTGCTAAATGGGAGCACAACAGGTTAGAAAGAAATCAGTGGATACATTTAATCATAGCAGTCAGCACAGTGCATTGCATCCGTACAAAAAACCAACACTCTTACCCAATTTCCCCCCTCCTAGACGATGTTCTAATCTGTGACAGGACACGCTGACATATTGCCCCACCCTTCCCTTCAGGCTGGACCTCTGCAATCATCCCTTCAATAAACCATCTTATGCAACAAGAGTGCTGGATTTGCTGGGGGTTATTGTGTGAGTCGTGCCCAGACGAGCTTCAAGCTGAATCACTTTTTCCTCTCCAGCTGGTTGTTATAACCCGAGAGGAAAACCTCAGATAAAATAGTCACATGGTGGGGTGTATGCCCTGCTTTTTTTATACGATGCGTGTTGATGTGACCATGAATGAGTTCAAATATATACCGAAAAATGTACGTTTTTTATTTTTTTTTTTTGTAATTTTCCAACAGTCACTTTGCCTCTTTGCAGTTGGCATGCAGAAATGTGATCTGGGACAAAGCAGTTTGTGTTTTGTTGCGTCATGCTTAATCAGGATGACGGGTTGCTGGAAAATCAACAGCCCAAAGCAATCAGCTGGGTTTGCCTCAATAGCATTTTACTAGTTGGCTTTATGAACTGAATTTGATTGTTTTGTGTTGAAATTAAATTGTGTGTATAATGGAATCCATTTAATTTAACTGTTGGACTGATTTTTATCTGGATTTGAGTTGGACCTGTTGGTTGCTTGTGAAATAAGAGTCTCACTTATTTCTCCGTAAAACAGGATCTCCGTAACAAACTACACACTTTCAATAGAAAATGTACTTTTTACGAATATCCACTGTTGTAAATTTAAGTTGTATAGAAAAGTGAAATAAGTGGTAAATGATAAAGTGGGATTTGATTATAAGTGAAACAGTTTTCTCTTATTTGACTAAAATGTTTCCAACCATTACAGTGATCTGAAACATGATTTTGTTTCTACAAAAGTCAACCTATATGATAGAAGATTTGAAATCTTTTCATTAATAAAACAAAGAGCTGAGCCCTGGGCTGATATGGGGAGTTCATGTAGCAGCTCTTTTGAAGTGGTATTTAAGTTTCTTATGAAGCTATCTTTATTATAAAATAATCAACAGTTCAAATAAACCAATAACGGACATTACATTTTGTCAAGTGCTGTCATTAAAATCATCGATACACAAATAAGTTGTTCCATTTATTATGGTTCAAAAGCAACTCTCAAACATGAGGGTTTTAGATTTGATGTGCAGTTTTCTGGAAGTTTGTTCCAGATTGTGGTGCATAGATGCTGAATGCTGCTTCTCCATGTTTGGTTCTGGTTCTGCGGATGTAGAACCAGAATCAGAACAGCTTTGGTGCTAAGCTGTTGCTCAGCACCAAAGCTGTTCCATCTTCACAAGCATCAACTGTATAAATAAAGATTGAATAATGGTAAAAGAAAATTGAACTAATTTGTTTTTTTTTTCAATCTGGTGACCATAGGGATGTCAGGCTGAGTCTTTTCCAGTATGATTACCTTAACATGCCACCATGTCATCTATATACACAATACTTACCACCAAATCATTTATTTAAACCAAAAGACTATTCGCAGGAATTCTTGAATATTTCTATTATAGTCTCTAAAAAAATTTGACTAATGCAAAAATGTGACTACATGCTAAATTGAAGTTTATGTATGGATTAGCCTTAAAATTATAGGCTTATTTTCAGCTCTTCAACAGGCCAACACAAGTATAATAAGTTGATGTAAGTTATAGTTAAATTTGTTTGTAAAAGATGAAGTACAATCTTGGTAAAATGGAAACTGATGGAAAATCTTGGTAATGTATACCAAACAGCTGTGTTTGGTATATTTACTCCAAACAGACCTTCAGACGAGGAGAGTTTAAACCTTTTGTCTGTAATTTCAGAGCCTCTATGTGGTCAGATTAAAATCTGTACAGAAAATGTAAACTCTCCTATCTCTTCCAGGGCTAAACATGCTTGCTGATGTGTTGATATAAAACTTACTACTCCCTAAAAATGTTGCCATGCATCAGCTGATAAGAGGGAAATATGATTTTCAAAGATCATCTTTCCTCTGCATATTTTTATTTTAGTTGCCTCATATTTGACACATTCTCAGTAACAATTTATATACATGTTCCTATGGGTTTCATTTTCAGTTTGTCCTTGAACTCTTGTCCTCTTGGCCTTCAGATTCTAAAGCCATTGTGGATGGGAACCTGAAGCTGATCCTGGGTCTGATCTGGACCCTCATCCTGCACTACTCCATCTCTATGCCGATGTGGGATGAGGAGGAAGAGGCAGATGACGGCAAGCAGAAGACTCCCAAGCAGAGGCTGCTGGGATGGATCCAGAACAAACTTCCCGAGCTTCCCATCACCAACTTCAACAGGGACTGGCAGACAGGCCGGGCCCTGGGAGCCCTGGTGGACAGCTGCGCCCCAGGTGAGAGAAAGTTGGGAAGTTTGTCTCTTATTAAAGTGGTGTGCAGACATGTTCTGTTTGTACCAAAGCATGTGGTTTTGATGTGGGACTGTTGTGTGCTTCAGGGGGCTTTTATCTAATTCTTCAGTTGAAAGGAGATGCTGGAACAAAAAAAGGAGCAGAATGGAGGGATTTTTCACATTATCGGCTTTAAATTGCCTGCAGATTGCTAACAGACTGAAATCAAAAGAATTTAAAAAATAAACTTGTCAAATAATCTTAAAAGCTGCTTAGCATGTGTGAAAATATCCAGCTGATGACGGTTTGCTTCAGCAATGCCTGGACATATCTGATCATTCTGGATGGTTTGAAGATCAACTTGATCAGGAAGTAGAAACATTAACTGTATGCAACTCTACACATGACTAAAACTGCAGATTTACCGTAAAAACTGTAATTGCTACTCATCTAAATTTCAAGTGCTCAAACTTGAAGTAATCACGCTTATTTAGATAGAAAATGAAAGTCAGCAGAAATTATTGGTTTTTAGAAAAAGTCCAATAACATTGGATAGAATTTGGATGATCTGTTATTGGAGAAACTGATCTTATTGATCTGAAAATGATCCACTGTCCTCTTTCTCTCTACTGGCAGACCCACACACCAGGTTATGACTACAGTTAACAAAAGTCGCCCCACTGTTTCCATTTTTCTCCATTTAGTGACTTCTTAGACAAAACAAAGAAATTGGTGTTGGGCCATCATGCTTTTTAAAAATGAGTGATTGACCTGAAAACTCTAATTGGTGCACCACTAATAAATGTCTCTGGAGGAAATATAACCTGAACTTTTTTTTTTAAATTGCTTTAAACCCTGAAGTTGACACACTGTTTTTATTCAGAATGCATCACTTGCTTCATCTGCAGTTAACTAAAATCACCCCATCTGAAGTATGCTAGCAGTTTTTTTCTTTGTGTCAAAGTATGATGTAAAGCTACTGTAGGCAGTAAAGCACCATCGGTAACCTTGAAAATTGCTTTGGACCATTTAATGTAATAGTTTTAGTCTGTTTCTATGATAAAGTTGTGGTGTTGTTTGAAACCCAGCTGAGCCGTTTCTCTCCTTCAGGTCTGTGCCCTGACTGGGATCAGTGGGATCAGACCAAACCAGTGGATAACGCCCGGGAGGCCATGCAGCAAGCTGATGATTGGCTGGGCATCCCTCAGGTAGGAGACGAGTCAGAAAATACAGCTGCACACACGAGCTAAATAACGACACTTCATTGAGACTGTGCATTAAGGGATTTTTTTTTGTGCTTGTTGCAATTTTAATTTTGAATTAAGACAGAAATTTCCAACTCATCGTGACTGATATTGATGTAGTTCTCAAGAGGTTCAAAGTGAAAACCATGCGTTTATTTTTATTTTCTCGTAATTTCCTTTGAAGGTGGACCAGGATGTTCTTTTTAAATGCATGTCTAACAATAGTACAAATTATGCTCTACCACTTTTAGAGGCTGACATGTTTAACATCTTGTAGAAAAGTGGATTTGAATGTATTTTTGTGTTGGCCTTTGCTGAAATAAATGTTTTCTAATAGATCATCAGATTTTTACAAAAGGTGCAAAATCTTCAGGGATCTTTTTTTTTTTTCGCACATGGGATGCTCACATTTATTTAATCCTCATCTTTAGGAATTTTGTTGAAAAATCAGCCTCAGTCCACATTATCCCATTAATAATGCTGATGGTCACAAGAGTGAACCATCAGTGTTCTTTAGCTGTAGCTATTCAGCATTTGAGTCATTTCTAGATGTTAATGGCGTTGGCTGGCTTCGTGCCAGACAGAAGAGTGTTGGCACGACTGGCACAGTCTAGCGTGTTGACAGTTGGCTTTGTGGTCACCGCTGTTTCCGTCTTCTTCTCTGTTTCTTCTAAGAAGTGAGCGTAATGGTTTTCCCCTTGTTGTAAAACCAGAAAGTGAGAGTCTGTATGAGTGGCTGCTGCAGGTTTGCATGTGAATCTGGATCAGGTACATTCTAAGCTGTGGTGAGGGGGAGGACTGGCACATTGCTTTCATCACCAAATCAGTACCTAGTTTACTTGTGTGGGTAATGGGCTCCATGGCAACTAATATGTGGGTGCATTGGGTAAAGGCAAACGAGCATCACAGACCTTAAATATGAAAACACGTGTTCCTTTTTGTCTGTTTTTATTAGGTTATAACCCCAGAAGAGATTGTAGACCCCAACGTGGATGAGCATTCAGTCATGACCTACCTGTCCCAGTTCCCCAAAGCCAAGCTGAAGCCTGGGGCTCCTCTCCGGCCCAAACTCAACCCCAAGAAGGCCCGCGCCTACGGCCCAGGTAGGCACACAGCTCTCCTTGAGGACTCCATGTTACCTGCTGCAACAATCTGTCCATCCTGCTACCTTTCTGGAAATACTGAACAGTATTAACCAGGACTTGAGATGGTAAATGCATTTCAAAAAACAAGACCTGCTGCAGCACAGTAGTTGGTTTTACAAAATAAAATTCGAAGCACCATAGGGATAAACCAACTTCACTCTTGGTGTTTCTCTAGAAACTAGAGGTTGTGGTTGCAGGTGCTCAAGAGGAGTTAAACATAGATTTTGGTAGTTTGGTGATTCTTGTGGCAGGCTGCAGGAAAAAAGTAGTTTCTTCGCCATTCGAATGAACCACAGAACTTCAGGCACAATGTCTTAAGACCAAACTAGGTGTCTTTGCGTTCAATACTTAGCACAATGGTTCCTGAAAGTCTGAAGCATGGTGGTGGAGGGATGATGTTGTGGGCCTATTTTATAACTCCAGAACTTGGGCAGCTAGTTGGTGTCCATGAACTCCTCTCCGATTGAAGGACATTCGTTTTTGCACGCACGCACACACACACACAAACACACACACACACACACACAATGTGGACCACCTGGGGAACAACCGTCCTGGTTCTGTCTACATCACGCCGCAAAACAGTAACTGAGTCGGCAATGTCTTTCTGCGATGATCTTCTTTGTGGAAAATAACTTTGCAGTTTGACTTTTTATCCATTTGGTAATATTTGTAGGTGATTAATGACCAATCAAGAGATGACAGATTTGTATAATGTGTTCTCAAAAGTATTCGTGTCGCCTGCCGATACAAAAACTCGACAATTGCAGCCAAATGTTGACGTTGCTGTCTGAGTGATTTTTCACATAATACATGCCAAGAAACTTCTGGCCAACCACACAACACATTGCACAGACCTCTGTGTGAAACAGTCTGACCCGGGCCTGCTGTCCAAGGGGCGGCAGACGCAATGACGCAATTTGTCATAAAACTATGTCAATAAGAACTGGTTTTGATGCTTTGGATGAAGTATTGGGAGAGTCTGAAGGCCATCCAACAGCAGAAGCTTGGCCCAACCTGCGTCATAAATCAGATGACAGAATCGTGGTGGTACAATGTTTCAGTCAAACGCCAGATGGAACCTTTTATTCAGCGATGCATAGATCGATGTCTGTAACCTCAATCCACTGAAGAAACATTAGTCAGGCTGAACTAAGAAGTTGTCAAGCATGCAAGAAAGTGTAAATGATTACTAGAAGTTGTTGCTAGGATTTCTGGTTCTGCAAGATATCATAAGCCACATATAAGCTGGATGTCTTCCATATTGCTTCAAGGTTCATTTTGCATAATGACGTAGCGTAATATGTGATGTGTAGTTCATCTGAGGCTGTAGTCGCCCCATGTCTGAAACATCAAATCTGTCATTTGAAGGCGTATCTAGCTGCACTTCTGCATCTACTGCAAGCTGATGTGTGTCTTGTCTCTGAAGGGATTGAGCCGGTGGGAAATGTCGTGATGAAGAAGGCGATGTTTACCGTTGAGACCATCAGTGCGGGGATGGGAGAGGTGCTGGTTTACGTAGAGGATCCTGCAGGACACAGAGAGGAGGTTTGTCAGTCTTTGGGAATGTAGCTTGTTTAAACTAAAGCTTTTTAAAAGCTGATGTTTTTGTAAACTGTTGTTCAATTTTCCTTTAGGCCAAAGTGACGGCGAACAACGACAAGAACCGCACCTACTCTGTTGTCTACACCCCCAAAGTGATGGGCATGCACAAGGTAAACTGACCATACGTCTAATGCACAATGGATGTGTGAGGGATTGCTTAGTCACACAAATGTTAATATTAAGGGGCAAAAGTTATTTTTAGATTATGAGAAGAGGGGAAGAAGGGCATGTCGTGACTAAATGAGTGACAAACTTCTACTTTCCATAACAAACTATTGTCTCTATCTAAAAACCTGCTGTGTATTTTCTTTAAAAATATCCACACTTTAGACTTTAAAGATGAGAAATCTGACCAAACAGACTGACTGGACCTCTAGTGTGATTAATTATTTCATAAAAACATGTGTTTGTGTGCGGATGTATACTGAAGTGCTTTTTGTGTATACGACCATGTGTGTTCATGTGAAAACTCCAGAAGATTTGTGTTGACTGGATTAAGTACAGGCTTGCAGAGCCTGTTACATTCTCATGAAGGGTTAATTATATGAATGCATAGGGAGAAAGATCCACACCAGATTGGTTATTTTGTTTCATTTCTTCAGTTTGATTGATAGGTTACAGAAAAATACTTTCTGGGACAAAATTCAACAACTTGGCAAAGACGTGGTTTGAAGTCTAATCTTTAGTGTCTTTGTTGAAAATGGTTTCAGTTGAGAGAAATGATTTTGGCTTCAACAAGGTGAGACCTGAAGAACAGACCGTTTGGAATAAAAACTGGAATAATTAAATGGGGGAAACGAGAAGAGTGAATGTATTTTCCCTCCGTTTTCCAGGTGACGGTTTTATTTGCGGGGCAGCATATTTCAAAGAGTCCCTTCGAGGTGGACATCGGCATGGCTCAGGGCAACTCCAGCAAGGTGACGGCCCAGGGCCCTGGCCTGGAGCCGTCGGGCAACATTGCCAACAAAGCCACCTACTTTGATGTCTACACAGCAGGTAGTGTTTGAAGGGGGATGCGGTGCGTTTGCCATCGAATCAAATGGGAAATAAATCAAGACAGGATTCCATGTTTGATTTGTTCTTGCTGAAAGGTGCTGGTGTTGGAGAAGTGGAGGTTGAGATCATGGATCCTGCGGGAAAGAAGAACACGGTGCCCTGCACCATCGAGGACAAGGGCAACAGCAGCTACCGCTGCACCTACAAGCCCACCCAGGAGGGCCAGCACACCATCTTCATCACCTTCGCTGGCGGCCAGATCAGCAAGAGTCCCTTCACAGTCGACGTGGGAGAAGGTGAGACCCCGAATCTTATGACCCCACACCAGTTGTTGTTCCAACATGTTGACTGTAACGGTTTTCCTTGTGAACCTTCAGTGTTAATTATTTCAAGCTGGTTTCTAATTGTGTTCTGTCTCCTCCTCCTGCTGTGCTGGATATCAGATCTTCTGTCGGTCTCTCCTCCCAGTCTTCTCTTTGATAGCGTCCCACTGGCATCTGTCCACTCCTGAGAACGGCCTCTTCCTTCTGCTGTCATTTCCTGTTTCCTGGCGTCTCTCTAGGGTACCCACTGTGTGTCAGAGATTGGCTGCTTGTGGCTTGTGATCATGTACTCAACATTTCTGACTCGACTATTTCATCCTGGAAATTGTTCATTAGTTTAAGGAATGCCCTACTTATGACTAATTTTCCCAGTTTAGACTTCGCATAATGAATTCAGAATGAGTCAAGCTTCCAGGGTAAAGTTTCCTTGTTAGGATCCATCAACAGAAAAGTATTTTCTTCCTTTTTTTCCCATGATTGTATGGAATTAAGCCTTACTGCTTTATTAAGCAGTGACCGTGGGACCTCACCTTAACTAAGCCAACATTCCTGAATCCAATACGTTTCATGATAGGTGGCTAAAAGTTCAAAAAGAGAACATGGAGAAATGTTGCTGTTATCTGTTTAACATTCCTGTCATTAGATGAAAGTCTTGCACTCATTTTAGTGTGACTAAATGAACTGCAGATTGTCTTGACATGTCATAGAGAATGTTAACGTTAAACTATCTTCTCTGTTCTCTCTTTGAATACATTTAGGCATGATACCAAATGGCCACTTTTCATTCTTAAAAACCAACCTTTAGATGCAATGCGTTCACTAATCAAATAGCGAAGCCATGCTGGGGGCTGGTTGGGACAGACTGAGCTGAGCAGTCAGAATCTGATCAACTAATTAATTTTTGCAATTTGTCTGCGCTATTTGCAGTTTGAACTTTCCATTACATCATTTTTAATTTTCCTGGGTTCTGCAGTGCAGATGTTTACCACAAGACCACAGCATGGTCTTTTGATGCCTTTAAAAATTTATCTAGATATTGGGCAGCTTTTTTTTTCTATTGGTCAAGGAATAATGACTGAAGATGATCAAAAAATGTTTCTTTTCTAACGGTATTGGAGGAAGACAAATGCTGAAATCCTCTTTAAATACCCATTAGAGCCACAGTGCTACATATTTGTTAAAATGCTTCGTGGTAATACATTGAAATGTACTGAAAGGCAATCCATGCTGCCAGTGAAATAAAATTAGTAATATTAGTAATGCATATTGAATTGAAGAGCAGTAACTTTAGTTTCACTTTGTCAGCACTATCTGTTAAGTTTACTCTTATGAGTGAAGATCTTTAGTTTTGTGGTGACTTAAAATATTTGCCATCAATCTGAAACCTGCTTTCTAACAAACAGTTTTTGCTGTGTTAATGTTTGAGATCAAGTAAAAATTTTGACAGGTCTAATTTTATTTCTTATTAGTTGCCTTCCTAGAAAATGGCTTGTGTGTTTTCTGCTCTTAATTTGCTTCCTGTTGATCAGGCAGCTCTGACTGCAGCTCCTTCTTTATTTAGAAGATAAGGGCAATACTTTACTCCAGTTTGGAGAAACTTCCTTTACTGCGTCAGCAGCAAACTCACTTTGCGGGATAAGATAAATGTCGAGGCACCAGAAGTTTAGCGGAAGGAGAGGGAAAGCTTTCCAGAAACTGTAGTGTGAAGGCTGGACCTTTAACGCGAAGGCTTCATTCCTCCTGCACCTCATCCAACTCTCACCTCTCACTTTGCCTGTGCTTATAAAGTTTCTTTAAAAAAGCTCTTTTTTTTTCTTCTTTTTTTTTCTTGGCTTGCATCTCTCTAACTTTCTCCTGCGTGTTCACAGCATGCAACCCCAGCCTGTGCAGAGCGAAAGGTCGCGGCCTGCAGCCAAAAGGCCTGAGGGTGAAGGAGACGGCAGACTTTAAGGTTTACACCAAAGGAGCCGGCACCGGGGAGCTGAAAGTCACCATCAAGGGCCCCAGTAAGTTCACAGCTCATTATCCAGAGAACTCCAGTGAAAGCACTCATGACTATTTAAAACACAGACTTTCACTTTAGTGCTGTGGCATTGGGTCTGTTTCACTGGTTTTAGTTCTGGTTTCATACGGCAAACTATAACATGTTCCAATGACCAGATCTGACTGAAACTGGAGTCAGTTTTGCATAATTTGACGTCTGTGAAGCTGATTTTATTGTCATGTCTCTTTATCCAACTGACTGTTTAGATGGATCTCAAATTTAAAGAAACAATTCTTCAAGAGCTTCATTCCAATTCAGTCCTACTCTATTCAGGTGTTGCTGGTGCCTAATTTGACGGTCACCAAGATGTAACATCTACATTAAGACCAATCCAAGTGTTTTTTCACCCTCGCTATGTTAAACATGGCACTTTCTTGGTGTCCAGTGGAGGGGAGATGAACTGAAGAGGCTGCTGATTTGTAGCTGATCGAGGCCATTTTTTACGCTAGCGTAGCACGTTAGTTTGGTTGTATTTACCCAGAATGCCCTGTGCTGCAGTCCGCTTATGTATGCATTCAAACCGCACTCCCACAGTTTACTTCAACTGAACCAAGGCCTTTAGGTGGACCAGAGTTTGTTTATTTATTTATTTTATTTTGGCGTTCACCTTGTTGTGTGGATAGAAGGTCAACACAACTTGTTCATGAAAAACATTTTCTAATTCCTCTTTGGGTTCAGTTAAACTAAATTATTACTGGACTTGAACTGAGCCAAAAGTACTTTGAAGGGCTTTACGTCTGGCTAGGAAACCTTTATAGGTTCTGTAAATATTGCATGAGTAAAACGTTCTATTGTAAATAAAGTTCTGTATTTGCAGAGGGAATTGAGGAGCCATGCAAAAGGAAAGACCTCGGCGATGGCGTGTACGGGTTTGAGTATTACCCCACCACTCCTGGGACGTACAGCATCACCATCACCTGGGGAGGACAGCATATTCCCCGCAGGTATTGAACCACCGCTGTAACTGGAGCTGGTAGCTGAGCTTCACAATGACTGACCCCTGCTTCTCTTCTTTAGTCCCATTGAGGTCAAGATTGGTTCTGAGGCTGGTCAGCAGCTAGTGAGAGCCTGGGGCCCCGGGCTGGAGGGAGGAGTTGTTGGTAAATCTGCAGACTTCGTGGTGGAGGCTGTTGGCCAGAACGCCGGGACCCTGGGTGAGTAACAAGAGATGAAAGGGCAGAAAAACCCACCCCATGTTTCTCCTGCCTACACTGTGTCCTCCAAGAGCATTAACCCATGTTTTCTTGCTCAGGTTTCTCTGTGGAAGGTCCATCCCAGGCCAAGATTGAATGTGACGATAAGGGCGATGGCTCGTGTGACGTGCGCTACTGGCCCACAGAGCCAGGCGAGTATGCCGTCCATGTGCTGTGCAACAACGAGGACATCCAGCACTCGCCCTTCATGGCTGAGATTGTCAACGCTCCAGGGAAAGACTTCTACCCCGACAAAGTAAGAACACCCAGGGACATGGGCTGGAGCGAAGAACTGTGTCCTTAACTGTTTGTAACGCTTGATGGCTCTTTCAGGTTAAGGCGTATGGTCCTGGCCTCCAGAGCAGTGGTCTGGCTGTTGGAAAGCCCACAGAGTTCACAGTGGACACCAAACAAGGAGGAAAAGCTCCTCTTAAGATTGTTGCTCAGGTAGTTTCTTCTGTTGTGGTTCAAAATGTTCACTCACTGCAAAGATCTATTTGTTTTGTGCTTTATAGCCATATCCACTTAAAGATTTTATACTCTTGTAAAAGACCAAGATGAAGTTGTTGTTAAACAGATTTAGCCATTACAGTTGTGCTCATCATTAAAGTCCTAACTGTGTTTTACACATTTATTTGAGAACTATTGTTTCCTGTGTAGGATGGAGAGGGCAACCCTGTGGATGTCCAGGTTAAAGATAACGGTAACGGCACATACACCTGCACTTACACACCACGGAAACCAGTGAAGCACACCGTCATGGTGTCCTGGGGGGGTGTCAACATCCCCGAGAGTCCATTCAGGGTGAGGATCTAAAATCTGGATTTTGGTTTGGTTTTATGCTTCTGCAACCCCAGAGGTCTCCTAAGCTCTGGTCTCTCTGTGTCTCTGACTCCAGATGAATATCGGTGCTGGTTGTCACCCGAACAAGGTGAAGGTCTCTGGACCTGGCGTGGCAAAGACCGGCCTGAAGGCCTTTGAACCAACATACTTTACTGTCGACTGCTCAGAGGCTGGTCAAGGTAAGATGGCTTGATGAAAACGGTCTAGTTTTCTGCATCTACAACTGAGATCCTGTAAAACATATTGGTGTTTTTAACTTGCAAATAGTTAGAGGTGGATACTTGCCATATTGTTTAACAACTATTGTGATAAATCTCTCATTAGAACTTTGATTTATTGTCATAATAAATTCCAATTAATGATGTTTGAAATCCCCCAAAACTGTCTGTATTGTCATGATTAGTAGTTTTACTATTTTCTCCATTATTTGTTCAATGAGAGAATCAATAAATATGCATACATCTTAAAGATATGATTAAAAGCACTGGATGTAGTTTAGTGCAGTTTTAAATATGGATGTCCTAAAGAAGTATATTACAATTTTTTTTATGTTTTTATATAGCAAAATTTTTGTTTATGGAGTGTGATTGCTGATCCATCTCGCTATGGCCATACACTTAGCTAAAACAGGAGCAATAAATGGTTCTCAGTCACAACTTTTATCACTCTAACACAAAATTACATCATAAAACTTTTAAGTCTATATCACAAATGGAAAAGTGTATTAATATTGTCTCTTGGCCTCAGGTGACATCAGCATAGGAATTAAGTGCGCTCCCGGTGTGGTGGGACCAGCAGAGGCAGACATAGACTTTGATATCATCAGGAACGACAACGACACATTCACTGTGAAATACACTCCTCCTGGAGCCGGCAGCTACACCATCATGGTGCTGTTTGCTGAACATGTGAGTTTGAATCATGCGTGATTAGCCAGAATACATTGAAAGGTTTGTACATTTGTGCTATGATGCTTCTGCCTCCTGTTTAGGCCATTCCCATGTCACCGATTAGAGTGAAGGTGGATCCGTCTCATGATGCCAGCAAAGTTAAGGCGGAGGGACCAGGACTCAGCCGCAGCGGTATGAACGCTGTACAAAACACTGACCAGTCATTACAGACTATGATACAAAATACAAATCTAGTTGGACTTGGTAGCAAATTTTCTGAAGAATTCAAAATAAAACAAATTGAGATCATTGGAAATAAACTAATCATTTCTGTAACATATTTTTAAGTTATTTTACATCAATCATTTAAATGCATGACAGTTGGTTAATTCAGATTAATTTCCTACAAGGAACCTCCTTGAGGGATCAATGTTTTTATGCTTTGGTCTTTTTCTTTTTTTCCTCCAGGAGTTGAACTGAACAAACCCACTCACTTCACTGTGAACACCAAGGGAGCAGGAAAGGCCAACCTGGACTGCAGCTTCAGTGGGCCGACCAAAGCAGAGGCTGTTAAAGACTTTGAAGTCATAAACAACCATGACAACACACACACTGTCAAATACACTCCTGTGCAGCAGGTGAGATGGCAGAAACTCTTGCCAATTCAATTCCGGACACAATTTCTGCGCCGTACTGAGAAATTAGGAATCTGAGTTAAAGAGGCTGCGTGTTTAGGGGAAGGGGATGTAAATTTCATCGTCTTTGCTCTTGTCTCCATCAGGGTCCTCTGGGAGTTGCTGTGACTTATGGTGGAGATCATATTCCCAAGAGTCCCTTCAATGTTGCTGTGGCTCCAACTCTGGACCTGAGCAAGGTCAACGTCACTGGACTAGGAGACAGTACGTTCAATCCGTCAGACATGTTTGTGTTGCTTAATCCAGCACTGATGCTAAATTAATGTAAAAATAATTAAACTGTGATTAAAGGTGAGAAAAAATTATTTGAAACTTGAATTATTTCCTGCCTTGTTTATCAGATTTCAACCTACTGTTGCCACATTACCTGCATTTCACCAGACCCAAGAATGCTTTTTGTGTCCCTACAGAAATGACCGTCGGCAAAGACCAGGAGGTGACTGTCAAATCAAAGGGTGCTGGCGGTCAGGGCAAAGTTGCCGCCAAGGTTACCGGACCTTCAGGAAAACCGGTCACTTGTAAGGTGAGTTTAACTTTAGACTTTTTTTCTAATCCAAATTCTCTGAATTCTACACTGTCAATCTCTTAAAAACTACAGTACTGAAACACTTTTTCTTTAATTCTGTTCCAGGTTGAGCCAGGGTTGAGCCCAGAGACCAGTCAGGTGAAGTTCATCCCTCGTGAGGCAGGGCCATACCAGGTGGAACTGACCTACGACGGAGTGCCCATCCCTGGGTCACCCTACACTCCGACAGCTTACCCCCCTACTGACCCGTCCAAGGTCAGCAGAGTCGGCCTCCTTCCTCCTGGGGCTTCATGGATCTTGTCAGCATAATTTCATGTTCTTATAAAGAATCAGTCATTTAACTCTGCCTCCTTCTGTGTCTAGGTGCGCTGCTCTGGCCCAGGCCTGGAGCGGGCCAAGGTCGGTGAGACCGGAGAGTTTGTAGTGGACTGCACCAATGCTGGTCCGGCTGAGCTCACCATCGAGATCATCTCGGACAGCGGCACCGAGGCCGAGGTTCACATCCAGGACAACGGAGATGGAACCTACACCATCACTTACATCCCGCTCTACCCGGGCTCCTACACGCTCACCATACGCTACGGGGGCCAGGATGTGCCAAACTTCCCTGCCCGCCTTAACGTGGAGCCAGCCATCGATGCCAGTGGAGTCCGTGTGTTTGGACCTGGAGTGGAAGGCAAAGGTAACCTAGACATCTACTTGAACAATCAACTTCCAGGAGACAAATGTATCCAAATAATAGGGATGTACTGATATTAATTTGTGGCAATATTAATACTCCTGTTATGGCCAATAACAAATATTCAAATTTATTTTTTTATATTATACATATTTTTAAAATGGCCACCTTGCTTCTCTGCTTCGGTTAAATAGCACAAAATCGAGCATTGCATTATTGTCACGTGACCAAACACACACACGCCCATTTTTACTTGTTAGATACTGATTTGTTAAATGAACATCATGTAAAGATCTGAAACTGTGAACCTGATGATCCTTGTCATCTGAATCAATCGTACTTTAAATGAGCTACATCTGCAGATGCTATGTTAACTGTATGTTGTTTGTTTTTAGGTGTATTCCGTGACGCAACCACAGACTTCACCGTGGATGCTCGTGCTCTCACACAGAACGGAGGCGACCACATCAAAACTCGGATCAGCAGTCCATCTGGCAGCTGCCCGGATGCCGTGATCACAGACCACGGCGATGGCATGTACGCCGTGGAGTACACTCCCTATGAGGAGGGTGGGTTTAAACATCACGACATGAACATTAGCAGGCGTCGATGCCTACTGGCTGGTTGGGATTGTAACTCTGTGTGTGTTCAGGCCCTCACAGTGTGGAGGTCTGCTACGATGGCTCTCCAGTGCCCAACAGTCCATTCCGTGTGGCGGTCACCGAGGGCTGCGATCCGGCTCGTGTCCGTGTGCACGGTCCTGGCCTGAAGAGCGGCATCACCAACAAGCCGAACAAGTTCATGGTTGAAACCCGGTACGGAAAAAGTTCGGGTTGGCTCATTCGACGGAGTGGCTCCTTCTCTTCATTGTTATAATGCCATGTTCCTTCTGCAGAGGAGCGGGAACTGGAGGTCTTGGTCTGGCAATGGAAGGTCCATCAGAGGCCAAAATGTCCTGCACTGACAACAAAGATGGCAGCTGTAGTGTGGAGTACATTCCCTATGAGCCTGGAACATACAACCTCAACATCACCTATGGAGGACAGCCAGTCAAAGGTGACTCACAACGACAACACCTTCTGGAGGAGGTTGTCTCCAACACCTTGAGATTGAATATATGAGAATCAAAAGAAAATACTAATCTGCTCAACTTGAGCATTTAGTAATGTTTTACTACATTTAAAAAATAAACAAATTTTTTTTTTCTTTTTGTCTGAGCAGGAAGCCCCTTCTCCGTTCCAGTCAGCGACACTGTGGACAGCACTAAGGTGAAGTGTCAGGGTCCTGGCCTCGGCAGCAACGTCAGAGCCAACATCCCTCAGGAGTTCACAGTGGACGCCTCCAAAGCTGGGGTGGCCCCTCTGCAGGTCCGCGTTCAAGGACCCAAAGGTGACGAGTGTTCTTGATTGTTGAGATGAACCTCAACAATCCGCGATTAGTTGTAGCAAAAGACTTTATTTGGGGAATATTCCATTTACGTTTACAGTAGCAAAATGTAGAAACGATGATCTCATCGCCGTTTCTTGCAGGGGTCGTGGAGCCTGTTGAGGTGGTGGATAATGGAGACCAGACTCACACAGTCAACTATGTTCCCACCAGAGAGGGACCCTACTCTATCAATGTCCTGTATGCTGATGAGGAGATCCCACGCAGGTAATACTCAGCCGAAATTATTATTGTTAGGAATTTATGTTATCGTTTATCATGATAAATTTCTTTACTGGGGTCTGGAACCTGTAAAAGCTCCTCAGACCCTGAAGTGTCTCTTAATGACTTTGCCCAAAAATAATTAATAACTGAGGTTTCAAATGTAGAGGTAATTCATGGTTTGTTTTTGAATTGTTTGTTGTGTTATGACCGATTGTGAAAAGATTCTCCAACAAAATGAGGCTAATCATCTTTTAGTTTTAACATTTTGTCCACTTTTTGATATTTTGTTCCAAACTCCTTTTTCATACAATGTGTTCTTTCCATTTCTAATTATGTCTTCTTTTTTTTTAAGCCTAACAAAAGGTTCTGTTGTCAGGTTCTTAATCTCCAAAGAGTCAGTTTGATGTTCTCTAACAAACCTCAGAGGCCTTCATAGAGAAAGAATTAAATTTTTTTACTAATTAGGGGATTTACGAAGAAATTGTAATTATTACCTAATTTGCAATACAAAATAAATGGCACGTTGAAAAGTCGGTCTCAATTTCTCCCCAACCTTTCAGTGGTAATTCTTGGTTTCTGTTCAAACTGCACTTCCTGTCTGCCTCTTGCAGCCCGTACAAGGTGAAGGTCCTCCCGACCCATGATGCCAGCAAGGTGCGTGCCAGCGGACCCGGCCTCAACACCACGGGCGTGCCCGCCTCTCTGCCTGTGGAGTTCACCATTGACGCCAAAGACGCAGGCGAGGGACTGCTGGCGGTTCAGATTACGGTGAGTCAGGCTTCTGATTTCTGACCTACACCTCCAGATTTTAGAGGATCTGGATTTCTCAAAATGAATCCTGCAGAATGTAATTTAAATAATTTATGGTGAAAAAGACAATGATAAAAGTAGATTTTAAAATTAGACAGACGATAAGAGTAGCCCAACAGGGACCATGTAAGGTCACCATTATTTAAAGAGAAGACAAATGACGGTGTAAACTTTATTTGCAATATTTTTGGATCGTACTTGAACAAATTTGATTATTTTAAGACTGATCAGATTTTTGAGCCTGCAATCTTTACATGGTTTATGCAGTCAGACGCATGAAAGCTGATCATTTGGTGCCGTTTTTGAGCGTTTTAAATCATTGTGTTTCTGCAGGACCCAGAGGGGAAGCCTAAGAAGGCAAAGATCCGTGACAACCACGATGGGACCTACCTGGTGTCGTATGTACCAGACATGACGGGCAGATACACCATCCTAATCAAATACGGAGGGGACGAGATTCCTTATTCGCCGTACCGTATCAGAGCTCTCCCCACCGGAGACGCCAGCAAGTGCACCGTCACAGGTCAGCCTCTTTACGCTCACACCCTGATTAATAGAAACTTTGTATTCTAGCATTGGAATCAAAGTTCTTTTGTTTTAGTTTGCTTCTTAAATACTGAAGGTCAAATGACCATTTTTTTTTTTGTGTGTGTGTGCCCTACGCATTTTACTGACTTAATTTGGCAAAAAAAAAAGAATCAGAATGGACACATTCATCTCAGTCATTTCTTGCTGCATTTAACTGCAAACATGGTTCTTTGAATACAGAGTGGTTTCAAAGTTTTTAAAGTCTTAGTAAAAAATCTTTTCATTGCTTTTTAATTCACTGAAAATGTCTGACACAATTTTTCAAAAGTATAAAAACGCATAAATTTCAAATGTGAAACATTTGTACGGTAGAGAAGATCCGGCTATCTAAAAGTGTACAAATTCATGAAACACAAGCAAATTAAGAAAACTTCAAATTGTATCAAAAACTTGAAAAACATTTTCAAAAAAAAAAAAAAAAAATCAACTGTAAATTTAATGCAGTCATCTGACTGTCCTGCAAATATTGACGAGTCTTTATTTGCACTGACAGCAGTGTGACTGCAGATGTTTTGAATCTGACAGGTGAAGGAACTTAATGTGTTCATTTGCTTGTGTTTGTGTGATTGCCTTTGTTTTCTCCAGCTGCGTTGCACTGAGCTCTCCCTTTCAACATGTCCATCAGTGTTTATTTGCTGCTCAGGTCTCATTTTTCTGTGCATTGGTATGTCATGTTGCTCACGCTGTGCTCCTCAGTTGCACCTCACCTATACTCCCCCCTGCCCCTCCCCCAGAAACACACACATGCACTTCACCACCACCGTTCTTCAGCCAACTGTCTGGAGCACAGTTAATGCCACCCATCACCCCCACATCCTTATCTGACTGTCTTTTATTTGTCACCTTTTTTCTTTTATCTTGCTCCCCTGCTTCTCACCGTTCCTTTTATCAGTCTCAATCGGCGGTCACGGTTTAGGTAAGCCCTGTGAAAGATTCGTAACAGAAGAATTGCTCTCTCTCTGTTGTTTTGTTGTTTTTCTTTTCTTTTCGCATGGAGAATTAGTGGTACCAAACCTTTACAGAATGTCCCATCCTGTGCTTTATTTATTCATTTCTTTCAAACTCATTTACTTCTCTCATAACACTTCCTGACTCATGTTTTTATTGGACGGACTAAAGGACTAACAGCGTCAATAGGATGGCATGGTGGAATGGCTCTTTTAGCTAATCTAGTTATAGTTGTAGATTAAATTGAAACTTAACTAGTTGGTTACAAAGTTACATGAGACTTGAATAACATGACTAGATCTGACCCAACTTTAACCTGGCCTCATGGTTTTGGAATGTGCATGCAATTTTTTTATGACGGTAAACTTGGGAAGCTGTATGGAGGAATGAACCTGCCAAAACTAAAAATGTTCATCAAAATAAAGATGTCTTAACCTTGTAGCATGTAATGTGCTACATAAAGTATTCACATATTTTAGTCCAACCTTGCAATATATATATATATATAGTAGTGTATATTCAAGATTAAATTTTTTTATCCAATGTTTTACTTGGCCAAGTTCATTATTATTTTTTTTTTTCATTTTTACAGTTTACCACCTTTGACAGAAATGCATTTTAACTTTTGGAAATTTATTTCAACCTTTAAACTACAATATCTCATTTAATTTGGGTGTTCTTTGTTTTGTACTTAACATCACAAAAAAAAAAAATATTTTTTGTAAGATGGCTTCACATCATTCCAAGTGCACATTCTGAACAAACTCACTCACTTAGAAAATGTATGGAAATGCAAAAAGATAAGGTAAAAATGAATGAAGCCCATTAATCTAAAATGTGAACTCCAGCAAATTGAAGAGCCAAAATGACAAAATAGTTTCAATCTATAACTGGATGTATTTAATGTAATCCACTTAAACTGGCTTGATTTTGGGTATTTGGCATGTTCAGTCCTCCATACTTTTCTACATATCAGACTGTCACAACAAATCACATTATGTATGTTTTTGTTCTCCTAAGGCGCTGGTGTTGGTCCAACTATTCAGATCGGTGAACAGACAGTCATTACAGTTGACGCCAAAGCTGCTGGGAAAGGCAAGGTGACGTGCAGCGTGTGCACGCCCGAAGGGGCGGAGCTTGACGTGGACGTCGTCGAAAATGAGGACGGCACCTTTGACATCTTCTACACCGCACCACAACCCGGAGAGTATGTAATATGTGTCCGTTTCGGAGGGGAGCACATTCCCAACAGTCCGTTCCAAGTTACGGTGAGTTGCTCAAACTGCAGTCGCATTGCCCTGCTTTTCTTAAATGTTTGGCTTAAGATTGCTAAAGATGAGTTGATTTTAAAAGAGGAACCTAAATGAAACTGGAGAACTTTACATGTTCAAAAGCTTTTATCGGATATTTGTAGAGACAAATCTCTGGACTCTCAAGCCAGAGATTTGACCTTCTGGCTTTACTTCAATTTCTTTAGAAAAGATTAGCACAAAGTTTCCATTTGAAGTATTTCTGCTTTTGCTCCAGATGTGCCAGGTCCTTCAGCAGAACAAAGCAATGATGCTTCTGTCTTTCTTTACAAAGTCATTATTTAGAAAGTCTTCTGGCAGTATGAGTGTTCCCTAAATCATTTTGTTTCACACTTCACTCCTTCATCTTTTGTGCCTTCTCTTCACCACCTCCCGGCCCTCCCAGGCTCTGGAAGGACCATCAGACCAGCTCATGCAGCAGAGACAAATGCCCCAATACTACACTCAACAGCCCTGGGTACCTAACAAACATCAAGCTGGTCTTGAGCTCCATTTGTGTTTCGCTGCCTTATTATTATTTGTTTTTGCCCCAGTTGTCATGCTTCCATGTCATTGTTTTCATCCCCCACTGCCTCACTTCATCAGACTCAGCGTCTGTCTCTCTTTGCAGGTGTTTCATTCATACTGATGCCTTTTTCTTATCACTTTGTTCCCTTCATGTGAAAAACTGAATCCATCCTCCAACACATGAACAGTGCAGCTGAGCTTTACAATATCACATCCCCATTGTGGGAGAGCTTTACATTTCCCTCAGATATTTTTATTAAATAATTGTGCAGCTCTGTTGTTAACTGCTTCATGTGGAAATCGCTTAAGAAACAAAGCGATTTTTCAAGAGAACCCTCTTCCTCTCGTCTCTGACCCACTAGTTTTGTTCTCGCAGTTTGTGCTGGTGCCATCGTCTTGACCATAATCCTCATTTGTCATTTCATTCCATGTAGTCTCATCCCTGCATTGGTGTTTGGAAGCTTTACCTCTCTTGTCTTGCATTGTGCTGATGGTGTGCAACATGGCTTAGCAGAGAAGCGCGCCATCGTCTGCAGTCCTTAAATTTCCGTTCTGTCTTTCAGGCGACAGACAGACCAGTTGGGATGAACGGCCTGGACGTGACAGGACTCAGACCTTTTGACCTGGTTATCCCATTTACCATTCAGAAGGGAGAGATCACAGGTAATGCATAAAGTTTAAATCCTGTCGTTACCATTTCCTAAAGACCGGCTACAAGTGATAGTCGAGACCACCTAACCCAAGACTAAATCAGTACCAGACTGTTGAGGCAGAGACAGAACCAAGACTGTTGGTTCTTGGGGTTATTTGGGGTGTGGATTTTTGACTGCAGTAACAAAATACATATTTAGGAAGGAGTCATGTTGTTGATGGATTTGAATCAGAGTGTTTTGCAGCCAATGAAAGCAAGGATGTTAAATAAACCAGACAGTATTCTGGCTATTTGGTGATATTTCCACGGTTGTGGTCTTGTGAAAATCCAGAGCCCTCAATGTCCAAGACCCAGACAAGATGGGGTACAAGATGAGACAAACTCTCAAAAGAAGCACAGAGTACTAAACCACTAGTCACAACATATGCCTCTATTTTGCTTTTGTTTTTGAAGGTGAAGTCCGAATGCCATCAGGCAAGGTGGCCAAACCCGACATCACCGACAACAAGGACGGCACCGTAACCGTGAAGTACGGTCCCACAGAGGCCGGTCTGCATGAGATGGACATTAAATATGATGGCATCCACATCCCCGGTACATCAGAGTTCTGAAATAGCTGCAGCTACTGCAGTACATCAAAACAGCCTAAATGGCTGTTTTTCATGCCTTTCTCCGTTTTCCATCAACAGGAAGCCCCCTGCAGTTCTTTGTGGACTACATGAACAGCGGGAATGTCAGTGCTTACGGCCCTGGTCTTATCCATGGAACCGTGAACAAGCCGGCCGTCTTCACTGTTGACACTAAAGACGCTGGAGAGGGTATGCAGAAATAACACCAACTTCTGTGTTCACACAAACGTTGAATTCAAGCTGATCATGTGTATGTAAAACCTACACATACATGTACATACCTTTTATTCCCTCCACAATGTATATGTAACTGTCTGCACATCGACTGCCGCTGAAACTGAAGTCAGATTCTTCGCTTTTGTGCAGAAACCTGACAAATAGTCCGTATTTTGATTGTGTTTATGAGAATGAATATTGCAGAAACAAAAATACAACTTTGTGTGTGGCTGTATACCAACGCAGGTGGTCTTTCTCTGGCCATCGAGGGGCCATCCAAAGCAGACATCAGCTGCATGGACAACCAGGACGGGACCTGCACAGTGTCCTACCTCCCTGTCCTGCCAGGGGACTACAGCATCCTGGTCAAATATAACGACAAGCACATCCCAGGAAGCCCCTTCTCTGCCAGAATCACTGGTAAGGCTGCGTTTTTGACCCAGCAGTCAAGTTAGTGGTTATGTCCATTTCAACCTTTCAGATCGCATGTCATGACTGCTGACGTTTGGCAGGAGCATTTAACAAATTAGTGTTTTATCTCTGCAGTCATCCTCCTTCAGGGGTATTTCTTTAGGAGTTCTTACTTTATGAAGATAGTTTCTGAACACGTGTCAATGTTTGCTTTATCTTAATTGTATCTTAATTTCCAGGTTTTTTTACTGGAAATTATGCTGAATATTTTTATAAACAATCTGTTTTTGTGAGATCTTCAATGAAAGTGTAGGCGTTGAAGTTTTTTTGTTTGTTTGTTTTAAGTGCTGTGAATAGGTGTGTACTTGAATGACTCATAGGTCAGAGTTAAATGGCTTACTGAAGTATAAACTAGCGAAAAGAGAAGAGCCAGATGCTGGACTGAAAAGAAACGATTCTCTTCTTTATGGCCAAATCTCAGGAAAACAAGAACTGGAAAGAAAACCTTTAGATCATTGAAGTTCTTTGCAAATTAAAAGAAAACAGGAAATTTATCTTTCTTTTTTTTTTCAAAAATATCCGAAATCTCAGATCATAGTTTGTCAAAATGTTTATTTTTATCTTGTATTTATTCTGTGGTTTATTTCCTTCATTGTGCAGTAAAATGATTTTAAGAAGTTGCTGATAAATGACATTTGACTGGTCAAAGTGCCCTGGACGTTTTTCCAGAATAAACATCTTAACTGGTTTATAAGCCCCGCCCACTGACTTTAGTTATGAGGATAATGGATCACATGAATTCATGAACCATGGCAGCAGGAATGGGAACAAAATGTAAAAAAGACTTTAAACATACTGCTGACAAATATGATAGTTGCTGCATTTATTACTCTATCGTGGGCGTCCAGACGTGTGGAGTTTGTTCTAATCAGCCTGTCCTCGTCTCCAGGGGACGACTCCATGCGGATGTCCCACCTGAAGGTGGGGTCGGCTGCTGACATCCCTCTGGACATCGGCGAGCTGGACATCAGCCAGCTGACCGCCTCCCTCACCACGCCGTCGGGTCGCGAGGAACCCTGCCTGCTGAAGATCTTGCGGAACGGCCATGTTGGTGAGTCCGCCGCCGATCGCTCCACAGGTAACTTCTTGCAGGAATGCGATCGATGCTTTAACCGCCGCCGATTCCGTCAGGCGTCTCGTTCGTGCCGAAGGAGATCGGCGAGCACCTGGTGAACATCAAGAAGAACGGACGCCACATCGCCAACAGCCCCATCTCTGTGATGATCAGCCAATCGGAGATCGGCGACGCCAGCCGTGTGCGTGTGAGCGGACAGGGCCTGAGCGAAGCAAGGACCTTCGAGCCAGCAGAGTTTATCATCGACACTCGCGATGCGGGTAAACGTCCAGAGGAGATTTTGACAAAATTATTCCATCTGAAAAAAACAAGGAAATTGAATATTAACTTCTGCCTATTGTTGCTAGGATACGGTGGCTTGAGCCTTTCCATCGAGGGACCCAGCAAAGTGGACATCAACACCGAGGATCAGGAGGATGGCACCTGCAAGGTCACCTACTGCCCCACAGAACCAGGAAATTACATCATCAACATCAAATTTGCTGACCAACATGTGCCAGGTGCTCATCAGTGAGGGGTTAAAGGTCAGGAATACGTGGCTTTTGGCTTACTGAACCAAGGGATTGTGCACACAGGGAGCGCCTTCACGGTGAAGGTGACTGGGGAGGGCAGGATGAAGGAGAGCATCACCAGGAAGAAGAGAGCCGCTTCTGTTGCCAACGTGGGCAGCCAGTGTGACCTCAGCCTCAAGATCCCAGGTGACCCAAACAGGAAGTTGGGAAATCACAAGACCCAAACGTCTACTTGTTCTGTTGGTGATCTGACCTCCTCCTTACCCCCCAACCCCTCTTCTTTCAGAGATCAGCATAGCGGACATGACGGCCCAGGTGACCAGCCCCTCAGGTCAGGTCCACAAAGCCGACATCATGGAGGGAGAGAACAACACCTACTGCATCCGCTTCGTCCCCACCGAGACGGGCGTCCATACGGTCTGCGTCAAGTACAACGGCATGCACGTGCCCGGCAGCCCCTTCCAGTTTACCGTCGGGCCCCTGGGTGAGGGTGGAGCCCACAAAGTTCGCGCCGGTGGGCCAGGCCTGGAGAGGGCCGAGGCTGGAGTACCAGGTCTGTGCGATCAATGTGTGTGTGAGAAGTCTGCGTTTTCCCACGGTGAAACTGACTCCTCTGTGCTGCTCCTTAGCCGAGTTCAGCATATGGACCAGAGAGGCCGGGGCCGGGGGCCTCAGCATCGCCGTGGAGGGGCCGAGCAAGGCGGAGATCACCTTCGAGGACCGCAAGGACGGTTCCAGTGGAGTGTCTTACATTGTTCAGGAGCCGGGTGAGACGAGACGCACTGAGCATGTGCAACAAATCAAATGGTTTTTATGCTCAGGAGTTAAACATGGAGCTCTGTTTATAAGGCCCAACCATCTAACAATAATTTTTATCAATTTCGCTTTCAAAAACTATGAAAAAGCTCTTTGTGAATAAACTAAATTGTTTGAACAATGAAACGTGTTTTTCAAGTCATTTTGAACTCCAACAAATACTTCCCAAGAGTGACTGACTGCTCCCCGTCGACCAGCTTCAGTGACTCTGACCGTTGTGTCGTCCTGCAGGCGACTATGAGGTGTCGATCCGTTTCAATGACGAGCACATCCCCGACAGCCCCTTCATCGTCCCCGTGGCCTCGCCGTCGGACGACGCCCGCCGCCTCACTGTTGCCAGTCTTCAGGTGAGGCTCTGAGACACACACACATCCGTGTGCATGCAGACCAGACCAGGCCGCAGTGCACTGCCCGCCATGCAGCAGCAGCAGCAGCTTGAAGCTCAGTCCATCTGGGTATCAAACCAGAGGAGATGGGGGGAAGTGGAGCAGTTTTAGTTTTGGGGCTTTAAACGACCTAATCGAACATGTCAGTTGACGAGTAGAAAAGGAGAGAACAGTGAGTAGATGCTGTGAGACTAGAGTGGACAGGTGAAGCTGTATGATGAGCTGATGCTGCATGGGAGGGCAGTTCAGGGGCTTCTGGGAAACTCGAGGACTGTGTGTGTTTCTCGTGCCTCATTCTAAAGGCTCCCAACAGCCTTCCCACTCTGAAGCTGTGGCAGGGCGCTAAAGGGTTAAAGAGGTTAGAAACGGGCTGTTTTATTTTCCCTCCCTGTCTCCTGGATCTCTCGCACACACACGCACACACACACACACACGCAGCCTTTACCAAACCTCATATTCCATTGATTTCAAAAAGAATCCTAGAAAATCTAGAGTTTGGTTGTACAGATGTTTCTATGGTTCTCTTTTGCTCTGATGCTCCTTCACAACGCTAAAGAACTAAAATCCAGAACCAGATCCACTGATTCTCTCGGGTCCATTCCACTTTCTGTCTCTTCATTACACAGCCTTCCTCTTTAGCCCTCTTAGCGACCTCCAGGTAAGATAAATAGGAAACTTCTGGTAGCAGCTGTTGACTTGAATAGTAATCCCAGCTTGTGACTCAGTGTTGGAGTTTATTTGTTGTCGAGCAGGAGTCAGGGTTGAAGGTAAACCAGCCAGCATCGTTTGCCGTCAGCCTCAACGGTGCCAAGGGTGTGATCGACGCAAAGGTCCACAGTCCCTCCGGCGCGCTGGAGCAGTGCTGCGTCACGGAGATCAATCAAGGTAACCGAGGAGAATCCTTCAGAGAGCCAGCAGGACTGTGGGAGCCTCCGTGTGATTTGGCTCTGCTGTCCCCCTTGTCCAGACAAATATGCAGTCCGGTTCATCCCCAGAGAGAACGGCCTCTATCTGATCGACGTCAAGTTTAATGGGAGTCACATTCCAGGAAGTCCGTTTAAAATCCGCGTCGGGGAGACGGGCCAGGCTGGAGATCCGGGCATGGTGTCCGCCTACGGACCGGGACTGGAGGGAGGCACCACAGGTAGCGCACCGCCATCATGTACATCGTCTTTGCAGAGTGTGCAACTAGTTTTTATCCAGGTTGACATAAGTGCAAGGTTATAGGTTCTATAACAATGATTATTCAATAGCTTCCCCGTAAATTCCAGTTTTTCCAAACATTTCTGTTTTTAGTTATTTTAAAATTACATTGCAACAGGATTTGGATCATTGGAAACAATTGGCACCCTTTAAATGTGGGTTCAAGATGAAGGTTTTAAAGTTTGTAGCTGCGAAGCTTAACAGAATGGCTTTTACAAGATGGAGTTCAGACCCAAATGGAAACCTGGTCGTTCCATAAAAACATTTCATTGCATCAGTTTTTCCACATATTCTACTGTGCAACCTCTTTCGGGTGGCATCTTAGTGCTTTGTTTTGAAAATGCAAAATCCAGAAAATGCATTGTCATTATCTTGTGTTGCTAATGGAAGTCATTAACACAATTAGCGACTGTCACAGCTTTACAAACTTTGAACAAGGGATGACAAATAAAATTTAACTAGAAACAATTAGCTGCTAGCTGTTGTCCCTGGTTTGCTGTTGCTGGTTCATAGTGGGAGTTCTGAAAGCCGTTTCCACTAAACGGCATTTCTAAATGGTTTCTGTTTGAAGCAAAAATTATATTGCTAAAGAACATGTTTGATGATGCTTGAGCTAAATCAGTCGGAACAAATTTGGGTACTGATAATTTGCAAGATAAATGTTTAACTGAGTCCCACAAATATCTGCCCAAGTAACACCAGTGGTTATTGCTCTATAGTTAGAGATGGAAAAGAAATAAGAATTAAGAAGCAAAGGTTACAAAAAAACTGCAGTGAGACAAATTGTCCAATATTTCTCTGTGCTGATAATCCACTGTGTTCCAGTGTAGAGACAATAATATACCATCTCAAGATGTTTCTAGCCATTTCCATCTGCCTGTGCAGCTGAGGGGTTCAAGCTCAAGACCCATAAATGCTGCAGACTACATTCCTGCACCCTCCCTCATGTTTTCTGGGGAACTCAGGAGAAGACCTCGTTCAACCTTTGTTCATGTTTTACATTTTTTGCCCCCTGCTGGCCACTTTAAGGCTTCATTTCTCAGCACTAAACATTAGAAACCCTTTTATCTTTAGTTTGTTTTTGCATGTTTTATGTCATTATGATATCAAGTTGCATCATAAATAAGGACATGTTTAATATGTACATAGTTAGAAGTTTCTGCATGGTGAAAAGGGTCAAGTAGCTTTTGCAGGAGTTCTTAAAGTAACTTTGTGCAGCTTCAAGAAGCCTTGTGTTTTCCTCCCCTGTTCATTGTCCCACTCACTTTTGTCCTGACTGCTTTTAGGAACTGCATGCGAGTTTGTAGTAAACACAAGCACTGCAGGCCCGGGGGCCCTCGCTGTGACCATTGATGGGCCCTCCAAAGTGAAGATGGATTGTGTGGAGTGTCCAGAGGGTTACAAGGTCACATACACCCCGATGGCCCCTGGAAACTATCTCATCTCCATCAAATACGGCGGCCCTTACCACATTGTGGGAAGCCCCTTCAAGGCAAAGATTACAGGTGAAGCAAGGTCTTTGCTTTTGGTTTGAAACGTTAAAGTGAGCCGCAGCCGCCCCTGACTTGCTCTGTTCTCCAGGTTCTAAGCTTGTGTCCAGCCACAGCATGCATGAAACCTCCTCGGTCATGGTTGACCCCGTGACCCGCGCCATCAGCAGTTCTCAGCAGGCGGCTCCCACTCATTCAGATGCCAGCAAGGTGACGGCGAAGGGCCCGGGCCTGACCAAGGCGTTTGTTGGTCAGAAGAACAACTTCTGTGTCGACTGCAGCAAAGCAGGCAAGTCTTTATAATTCAATCATCTAGATTTAAAGAAACTCAGTGTTTCAGGTGTTTTGTAGTTTTCTGGAAGTTTGTTCTAGATTCGTGGTGACTAGGAGCTGAATGTTGCTTCTGTCTTTGGTTCTGGGAATGCAGATCAGAACCAGAGGTCTGCTCCGACTAAAATGACTCATGATGCTTCCCTTTATTTCTTTTTAAAGCCACAGAGATCCAGGCCAAAGTGTTTATTGAAACTTTTTCATTCTGCAGGTCGTAACATGCTGTTGGTCGGAGTGGACGGTCCGAAGGTCCCCTGCGAGGAGATCCTGGTGAAGCACATGGGCAACCGCGTGTACAACGTCAGCTACCAGCTCAAAGAGAAGGGCGAGTACATCCTGGTGGTGAAGTGGGGCGACGAGCACATCCCTGGCAGCCCCTACCACCTCACTGTCTAACGGCCGCCGCAGCGACCCGGAGGTCCCGTCCACCTGGTGGCCGCTTACGGCTCCAAAGTCTTCCCATTGTTGCAAATTAAGATTCCCTGTGTGGTAGCAGTTTAACTCATGTGAGCCAGTTTGCTTGTTATTCTTCACTGTAAGCCAGTCTAAATAGCAACACAGTGAATGCTTGTTATTCTTCACTGTAAGCCAGTTTAAAGAGCAACACAGTGAATGCTTGTTTCCTTCAGAAAAAGGGGGGCAGGGCGGAGACGGCCCTTTGATCACTGTAAACTATCACAGTATTTAACACTTTCAGCCACGTGTTGACTTTAAATTAGTGCAGAATGCCAGAATATTGTAGTTGCAGGTTTTGGTCCCCAGCTTTAGATGGAAGGTTACTGTTTACACTGGAGGAGCTCTTACAGACATGAAAAATGGGTTTAGGAGCTTCTAGAGGAGCAATCACAGGACAAAGGTTTATAAGTGACCCTTTTTTTTTTTTTTTTGGATTATTTTTGTGTTCCAGTGACATTACTTTGACCTGTGTCTGTATAAAACTCAGCCTGTCCGTTGCAGCGCGGCCCAGTCAAAGCTCACCCTCGCTCGGCTTTTACGATCATCCGTCATCGTCTTTAATCTGCTGCTAGTGTGATCCAGTTTTACCCACTGCTGTCCTTTAGTAGTCAGGAAATCAAAGGGTGTGCTAACACATATTTAGCTTTCTCTGAACACGGCTGCTGGAAGATGACGCTTTGTGTGGCTACGTTAGACACCAGCGTGCGCTCCGCGTGTCCTTTACGATTGGGGGAACTCTTTGGTTTAGAAACAGTTCTGAGTCGATGAAAAAAAGGGAAGTTTTCAAACTTGTCGAAAGGGTTTAAAGTCAAAGGTGATGCTGCGGTTTAAGTCTGTTTTGCATTTCAGCCTCCATTAGAGCATACCTCTGCTTTGTGCCTTTATCTGTATTTTGAAGCTAAATAACTGAATTTTGTCCAAAATAAAAAAAGGCTTTTAAAGTGATTGTAAGACAGTATTTTGATACACAATAAAGTATTTTTCTCAATCGAACAGAAATTTGTTTTTTTTTTTATTTACATTTTTATGAAACACTTTTAACTGGTACTGATTGACTGTGGCACCAGAGGGAGCCGGTGTGAGTGTTTATGTTGACCTTCAAATCGCATACCTCTATGAAATGAGTCTCTTTTGCATTTCAGGTGTCATATCTGGTCTGATTCACATCTTGAACATCATCGTCCAGGAACGGCTCGGTATCATCTGGAGTGAATTTCAAAACAAAATGTAAATTCAATTTAAAAAACTTTAAAATTAAATGCAACTTTGAACCAAAACCTGATGCTCAGAGCTCTGAGGACCCTGGTGAGCGTCAGACAGCACTTCCACCAAGGAAAATGTTCATATTTCAGCTGATCTGTGACCGAAGCTGAGAACCAAATTCTTGCAGGTTGGTAGGGGTCTCCATGGCAACCATAAGACCCCTTCCACCTGCCTGCTGTTTGGAAAACAAGCCAGGAAATGAACGATTCTGTCCTACCATCACAAATGTAAACATGCAGCTGGCTAAACTCTACTTCCACTAGAACTGTAGATTAGACTGAGCTTTTTGTCAACAGGTACTGCAAGTATGTTTGGTATGAAGCACAGAGGAATGTGCGCCTTCTGTTTAGTATGACGGAGGATCTTTGATGCATTGGATAGTTTTCTTTAAAGGTTCCGGAAACATCATTAAATATTAAATATGAGTAAGTCTGTAGTGAAAATGAAAATTGCTCATCACTGGGTTTGTTGATGGTATAAGTGTCTGAAATTCAACCTCCTATAAAATTCAACCGTCTCAGTTCCTCGAACTGCTGCACTCAGTTTATTCTGTTTTAGTTTAAGACATTTTCGAAAGCCTTAATAAATTCTTTCACATTTGTACGCTTTGCAGCAACATCAGTTAAGTAAAATCAAGAAAGGCATGAAAAACACTCAATGCTGATCTAATTGAATGTTTCCTATTATTTTCTCTCTTTCCATGCCGTGCATATCTATGTATGGATATCTGGGCAGCCATCTGACATTTCTTTTCTCTGGAAATTATTTTTTAAATTCCTCATGCTGCATCAAAATTTTTTGATAAACTTCTCAGACAAGCGTAACTTCAGGTTCCTGTGTAATTATGTTCTGGTGAGTCCTGATTGTCCTGCTTGTGTCCTCTGGTTTTCTTCTGTGTTTGTGCCAAACTTCTCTAGAATTGGTGCACAAAATGAAAGCAGACTTCTTTCTGTTTGACTTACTGATAGCAAAGACTTTGCTAATCTGCGAGAACAAATACACACACACATTTCTGTTTGTAGCATACTTGAGAAAATATTTCAGTGCTTTATTCATACAGACAAAAATGAAACGACTTTCAAGCTTTGCAAAAACTACATGAACAGAACAAGAAAGAGCCTTCCACAATATGACCAAATATTAATTTAATTAAAAAAAATACTCCTAGGTAAAGCAATGAAAATTAGAACTACAGTGTGAAACCTTTAAAATGAAAAAATAAAAATGCCATAAACAACTTTGATAACAGATTCTGCCTTTTGCTTCGGTCAGAGTTGTAAAATGAGAACTAGATCTGAGTCGTCTCAGCTGGTTGAACGAAAGTTTAGAAACAGAATCAGAATCAGATTGCTGAGGCTGAATGTTGCCGCTGCTACCTGGCAGTCAGTCAGGAGGCGTCGCCTGGTCTCAGGTTTTAAATCTTCAGCAGTTTTTCATCAGCTCTACCTGGAAACCTCTCAGTTACAAACCGAATCAAATGACATTTTGTCCTTTTACTGCATATTGCTTCTGTCCCATCATGTCCGCTACATTATAAATAAATATACCTTATTAGTAATTTGTATGTGACATGTAACTTCCCCCTCCAAAAAAATGCAAACTCAGCTAAAAAGCAATATCAGCCCTGAAGCCTCAGGACAATAAAGAATAAAATATTGTCCTATATTAGGAGAACACATTAATGTTTAAAAAAAATTACAAATATTTAATGAAAATCATAACCATAAGCATTTTGACGTTTTTATAATTAATAGTACATCTTCTTATACCTTGGAGCTGTTAAATAAGGAACAGAGGCTTCCACCTGGAAGGTTTTCATTATTCTATATTATGTGCTTCACTCACTGATAAAGTTCCTGAAAATAAATCAACTTGTCAGTAATATTCTAATCTACTGACTGGATCGTTTAAATGATTACGTTACAGAGAATCGCGACAATCAAAACGACTGCTTCACGATGGAATGTGACTCAGTAACGCCCAGTTCCTTTTCCTGCTGCACCAGTTCCAGCAGCAGAACGCCAGCCGCTGACTGCTCACAGGTGAACACCTTCCTTCAGATCGTCAGGTCAGAATGTGTTTCAGTCGCACCGGAATGATGGAAATACAATTTTGAAGACGTACTTGTTCTGTTATTCTTGTGACGGATTGATTGTTTCTGCTGCTGGGCCTGCTCTCCTGTCAGTTCTCTGTCTGACCCGGATCCTTCGCCTCATCATGATGCCGCTCAGAGAGAGAAGTGATGCCCAGATCAGTGATTTGCTGACAGACTACGGCATCAAGCATGGACCAGTAGTGAGTAGGTATCAAACTGGGAGGATCAAACTGGTGGCAGCAATTCTTCCTCTGTATTTTTGTCTTTCAACCATCAGCAGTTTTTCTTTGGCAGCTGCAGGCAAACAATTCAATACCATCTAATCTTAGATAGAAAATATTTTAACCAGTTAATAAAATGAAACTGGTCCATTGTTTCATGATCACTTAACAGTGAAATGCTTAATCAATATGAGGTGCACTGATTAAAAGAAGTATTACATGGTTATTACAGTTTATAGTAGGTTTTTTGTTAAAGCACATGATATAATTTATTAAGTCATTGACAAAAAAAAAGCATCACATGATTCTTATTTTTACATTAGATCAGGGATTAGCTGTCATTATTTTGTCTATGGTTGCCAAAAGTGAATTGTGTGTTTTGTGACATTGTGAACCTTTTGACCCCAGACTCCACTCGAAGTCTGTATGAGAGGAAGCTGGAGGAGGCCATGGCCAAGGACCGGACCTTCTACAGAGAAGAAGGTGGCGTGTTTCACTCAGACAAAACCCTGAAGTTCATCTTTTATTTGGTCAAGTTTGATAAATTTGGTTTTGCTTCCAATCCCTGGAATTTGACCCGTTTCAGTTCATGCAGCAGTTTGTCCCCTGATTGTCCAGATCCCAAATATTCCTGAGCAAAAGAGAAAAAAAGTAAAATTTCTGGTCTTTTGTTTGGTTTTTTGTTTAGTGTTTTTTATAGCATTACCTTGACAGCCTCTGGAAGTCGGTCATTCTGGTTATTGGTTAAATAGTAAAAGAGGAGATCAGATCAGACTGTTAGCTAAAACAGAGTAGATCTCTGATTTACTTACTTCTAACAGACTTGTTGTGGATTTCTGGATATAAACAATGTTTAAAATTCCTTTTCATTCTCCCGCTGAGACAGAAAAACACAACGAGATCTTTAAATCCTCTCCTTTGTTGTTGTTGTGATTCTTTATCCGATCTCTTACGAAATACACCTGAATATTTGCATGAGCCATCGCTTTCGTTTTCCCCGAGGGTTTACTACGAAGGAATGTTAAATATGGAGGAAGGATCCATCTCATTCCTTCCTTCCTCGTTGTTGTGAGAGAAGATGAAAGATGGAGATCAATTCATTTTAACCCTTCAAGCAGATTCATGCTGCTTAAAGGAGGAACTGAGAGAACATTGGTAAAGAAAAGACAATAATCTCCTCAATCAGATGACTCATGCTTATTTTCAGTTCCTTCCTCTTGTTTTTTTGTTTTGTTTTTTTGGCCAACTGAAAGTGTGATGATGTAATCTCCTATATAAACTATCTAGACTCTGTGGATACTTCACCTTTTCATGTGTTGCTGTATTTTATGCTGAAAGTAAACCAGACAGTTTGTTTATACGAGTTCAGAAGTGTAAGAATGTTTGTTGTTGCCGTGCAGAGGAGGAAATTACGGACATCGTATGTCGCCACCTGGTGAGTCCTGATCTTAAAAACTTGTCTTTTTTTTTTGTGCCAAGTATAAATATTTCTTCTCCTGAAGCAACTAATAATCTAATAATCTCAAGGATGTCTTTTCATTTTGACAGAGAACAAGGAAGACCTCAGCCAATCCGTCAGCACAGGTTTTGGCCGGCTCTGAGCTGAACGGAGACCAGCCACCGGACCAAGCAGAAGAGTGAGTGTTGATTTGTGAACCTGACCGTCAAGCAGAAAGATGAGACAGAGCAAAAACAATGATTGCAGAACTGAAGGAGCCGTTTTGGATGAGAGGTGAAGCAGCAGAAGAAGTCCAGTTGTCTTCTTGTCAAATCAGAGTCGTGTCTTGGATGAACCCAGGGTACTGCAGCTTATTGGGGTCAAAGGTTACTTCTACTTCTCTGTAGAAAACCATAGAAAGCCAAACTAAGGTTTGGACTGACTGAACGACTAAGAAGAAACTGTTTCACTTGGTCTGGTTTTCAAATTAAACTTTGTTGCAATGTTCACTCTACTTGTTTATTTAAGCTTAATATTTTCATGAAAATGTGTCTCTTGTGCTTCTTTTTCTATGTCCTGGATTCCTTCGTCCAGCATCAACCAAAGCAGCGGCGCTGACCCGTCGGATGACCTGAAACCGGAACAACTCTCAGAGTGAGAGTCGGGTTGTTTTGGTCAACCCAACACGGAGCAAAGGCTGCTTTGTTTCCTTTACATTCAATTTATATCATTGATGTTCTACACAGCAAATCTTCCAAATTACATCAAGACAGAATTTAACTTCTTATCAAACTATATAAAAATATATACTTATTTCAGTATATGATCTGAGAAATTGTTCTTGAAAACTGTGAGAATGGTTTAATCTTTTATTTCTCACTAGATGTGCAGCTGAGTTCAACCTAAATCAATCTGTTCATATTACTGGCCCGGATGCAGATGACAGGAATCTGTCCTTTATTATTTTACTGATGAACATGTGTTTCTATCATATCTTTTTTGTTTTATACACGATGTTCTGTTCTCCAGGACGAACCAAGGAAGCAGCACTGTACTGGATCAACAGACCCAACAGAGGTCTGCTTTTTGATATCTGCATGTTTAAGACAAAAAGAAAAGTCTCTTTCCTGCTCTAAATCTTCTCTTCCTCTGTCTCAGTGCCAATCACCACAAATTGGAAGTCAGAGAGCCAATCAGACGGAAGGCAGCAGGAAAAACACTGGTGGTGATCCCAGCGGTGCTGGCGCTGACTGCTGTAGCAGCTGGATGCTACTACACTGTGATGTGACATCAGATTCCTGGCTTTGTATTTCTTATATTTTTTTTGTTTGTTTTGTTTTGTTTCTTCTCTCAGAATGTAATGTTTTACCCCATTAGGTCAAACAGGTTTAAAGGTCTAAAGTTCACATTGTGTCTGCTGAAACAGAAACATTAAGGATCAGTCATTCTGCTTAGCAACAACAAGCCTGACCATGCTCCTTCATTATGACTATGATTGATGCTATTTCCATACGAAGCTACACCTGCCTGCCATCACATGTGTGTCCTCATCCGTCTATCCCAGGGGTGGGCACTCCTGGTCCTCGAGGGCCGGTGTCCTGCAACTCTTGGTTGTCTCCCTGATCCAACACACCTGAATCCAACAGCTGAATCACCTCCTAAATGCAATCAAGTTCTCCAGAGTCCTGCTAATGACCTCATTATTTGACTCAGGTGTGTTGAAGTAGAGATACATCTAAAAGCTGCAGGAGACCGGCCCTCGAGGACCTGGAGTGCCCACCCCTGGTCTATCCCGTGAGCTGGACCATCGTGTCTGTGTTTGTGATCCTGCTCCATCTTCTGAACCCAAATTTGATCACAGAGCATGACGGCCATGACAGCGTCTCACACCAAGTCTGGTTCTGCTTCAGGCTACTTCCTGTTAGAAGCGAGTCATTCCTTCCCCCTGTTGCCATGTGCTTGATCACGTTATAGATTGCTGCAAAGAGTAATCAGTCCCTTAGATGGATAACTCCTTCCGATTTGCATTAACAACTGCATTCGAGTGAACTGGATTATGAAAATGATAGAACTGGATATTCATAATATTATAAAGGCATGCTAAATCAAAGAAACTAAAAAGGGTACGGATGTGATTTTGACATTGAACTTTAGATGGTGTAAAACGTGGAACTGAAATTAAAGATCACTGATGTTGTGCTGGAGGTAGATGGCAGGTGAAAGTTTAGGGGAAAAGGAGACGAGCAGGAAGGCAGAAATGACTAATGCCTTACTTGGAAACAGATTATTGGACAACCAAGAAAAGGTTGTGCAGGCAAAGCTCTTAGGAGGACCGTTGAGCAACCCTGGGTCAGCAGAACAGACATCAGGACAAAACAAAGGGACCTTCCAACCCATCTCCATTTATTCCTCACTAAGTGAGGCGATTCAAATTTTAAAACAAAATCAGGTAAATGTGTTTGAGAACAAACTACCGTTTTGGAGCTCAACATCTTCACCGGTCAGGTTAGATTCAGCACCTTCATTTTAGGCTCTGATGATTGGGATTTTAAAGGAAATGATTCATGTTTTGAGATAGGCTCTTGCTTTGGAGCAAACATAATTAAATACTCCATCCTTAAAGGAAATGACCAAGTCGTGATTCATCCCTATGAAGTTTTTACAGTCACTGTCGTCCAGAAACAAACTAGTTCATGTAAAATCACTTACTCAGAAGTCATTTGAATTGTGTTTATGACAAAGAGAGCAACCAGTTGCATTCCTTATCTGCATTACCTGTGGAGGGATTTTGGCTCATTTTCACCATCATTTGTTTTGTCCTTCTGTTGCTTTTACTGCTCTGTGTTATTGTGAAGCTTTACCGTAGAATCTGCTCAGCTGGCAGAGTTTCAAATTCACATAGCTCTATCCAGTCCCATTACAGCCTGTAATGTTGCTGGTACACAATACAGTTATACATAAATGAAAAGAGAAAATATAAACAATGTTTACCTCATGTTATTTTATTTTTCATAAGTGTTGCAGCATTTTCCTTATCAGCTCACAGTATAACTGCAATGTCATTAATTTTATCAACCAATCTAAATGCAGCCTGATCACTTTGGGAGTTATTTCTGTTCCTACGTGGAATGAGTCCATTTTTAAAATTTCTGTTTGGGAAATGAACAGTAAAGCTGCTAAACTATGTCCACACTTCAACTTTCATTCTATATGAATAAAATTATTCACATCAATGCATCAGGTTTTACAGTTTCGTCACTCGGTGTGTTCAGGTGTCACTCGGAGTTTCTAGAGCTCGTTAGAGCACCACCATGTCGATGGCGTCGCTCCTGACCGCCTTGTAGATCCTCAGGGGTTTTTCACCGTGACCAGTTGATCTCCAACACCACGACTCCCAGCAGCATCGCAGCTGCAGAAAAACCTTTATTTATAACACACAACTTTAACTTTAACATTTGGATTTTCCCTCTAAGAAGTAAAGCATTAGATTTTGAGTTCTGGGTTGATTTCTTCAAATCTTTCGTACAGTTTTAAGAGTTCTGATCTACGACACTAACAAAAAAATAATGATGAGAATAAAGTCACTGAGAAGTTGAAATATTGAAGAATAAAGTAGTATTACAAGAATAAAGTCATAATATTATGACTTTTTTTCTGGTAGTATGGCTTATTTTTTTCTTAGTAGGGCCCAAATACTCTGTATTGATCACACTTTTTACTCTAATTTAAAAATTAATCTGAATAAATTCATTAAATCAGAATATAATTATTCAAAATATGTTCATTACATTTTATGCACAAAATCAGCCTTGAGTTGTTTTAGAGTCTCATTCACTTTAAATCCGAATAAGCTCCTTGTGGCCACGCCCCCAACTCAAACACTCGCATACAGCAGTAAAACTACACACACATATATATATATATATATATATATATATATATATATATATATATATATATATATATATATATATATATATATATATATATATATATATATATATATATTGGGTGATTGCACTTTTTTTCATCTGATTGCACTTTTTCTGAGTTCTGATATATATATATATATATATATATATATATATATATATATATATATATATATATATATATATATATATATATATATATATATATATATATATATATATATATATATATATATATATATATATATATATATATATTTGCATATATAATATGTATATATATATCTATTTATATTTATTTATTCATTTATTTATATATTTTTGTCTAATTATTAAAGATTAGACAGGAAACCTGTCTAATCTTTTTATATATATAATATAGCCTGGTATATAGTTATATCTTTATATCTATATACCAGGTGCGCAGATACACAAAATGGCTGCCATCATGTGTGCAGTTACACAAAATGGCTGCCACCAGGTGCGCAGTTTGACAAAATGGCTGCCACCAGGTGCTGTTGAAATAGAATTTTTAATTAGTACAAGCGTAAAAAAAAAATAGTACAAGCATACACAGGCTAAACTTTACATTAAGACAAACTTAGATAAAGATCCAAAATTAAAACAACTGGTGATTCTCTGAAACTTACATAAATTTCTAATCAGAAGACAATCTTGTACTCCCGAAGGAGGGTTTTTTTTTAGAGGGAGCGTATTGGCTATCAGGATAATAAATTCTTTACTCAGAGTTGAAGAGTTCAGGCAAACATTAAAAACTATAGAAGACTTTTACAAAATATAATCAAACGTATTAATGTAACCCCCTGGGTTCCTGGAAATATTGTTGTTTTGAAAAATAACAAATTTAATGTATGCAACTTAATATCTTAAAATAAGATATCATAATTTCAAAGTGTTTTTGGTAGGAGATTGAAATGAGTAAGAGTTCATGTGTTCTGTCACTTTAAGAACGAACTATGATTGGATAGTTTGTATGTAAAGTACAGCTCAACACGAGGTGTGACACACTAGAATGCTGTGTATGTTTTTTTGTTGTTCTGCCTGAGATCAGTTACTATTGGGTGATTGCACTTTTTCTGAGTTCTGATTGACTGGGGGGCGGGACTAAAGAGAGTACCGCGGGAGAGGAGAGACGACGCGGAGACTCGGTGGAGTTAGCTGGAACTTTTGTGAGCAGTTGGAACAGCGGCTAAAAAGTGCCACAACTTAGCGGTGCACTAGCGCTAAGGCACAGCAGATGGACCGAGGAAGAAGCGAGCGGTGAGCTGAATGCGGAGGTCTGCATAGGAGCTGTCGAGACCCACTACATCTGCGTCGGGCCTGCTGTATTGGATTTGGCTACAGTTTCCTCCGCCTCTTCCTAAAATGGCGCGAATTAACCGACGGATGTCTGGTGAGATGAGCCGTCAGGAACTATGTACACCCATCACTGCGGACTGAGGACCAAGGGTGAGTGTCTTCACTATCAGGCCTGCAACGGGGGTTTATAGACTATTTTGCCGGCTTTAATTTGTTTTATTTTTGGTGGTCCACTAATTAAAAACTGTGAATTGTTTTATGTTTTGGTGTTCAAACTAAATGACTCAGATGTGTTCGGGACTGTTCAACATAATCTAATTTGGGACTACATGAACATTTGAAAGAACGGGAAAGTCCCTATTTATAAATCAGGTGGTCTAGAAAGTATGTGGTATTTTTATTTATTTGTTTTGATACTGTTTGGCTATTTGATGGTTAGCAACCACCAAAAGGTGTTGTTTGACTTCTATTCAATTTGCCAGACATAAGGTCTGCTGGTGACCATATTCAGTGTGAGGGCATATTTTCACATGTGGTTTACTTTATTTTCGTTCTGAAGTTTGGTAAATAAATACTTTACCTGAATAAAGTCTCATCATTTATGGGTCAGACATAGGCTGTTCAACTAAGTTAAATGACAAAACGGTTCCCTGGTAGTTCATGGGAAATGTAGTGAAACCAGTTTCTTAGGGTGTAACATTAAATAATTAGAACCCAGAGCGCTAAATCTAGCATATATATACCAGAAAGCGCTACATTAAGATATTTCTTTAAGCTTTGGACAGCATGTTTTGAATTAGTTAGTTTTACATTCAAACGTTTAGTTACTATTTTTTAGCATTATATTTTGTTTCAGTAAAACACAAACACGGTCTGGTTCAATCACTGAGGCAGAAAACTAAAACAGGCCCAGGTCATAAATTGTCACCGAAGGAGGGTTTGCAAGAGACGCCTGGTATGCCAAAGACCCAGTTTGACAATCCATATATCTGCCTTTGGGGCTCTTTAGCACGAAATAATGAAATTAACATTGAGACAGC